GCTTGCTCAAGGAGGATTTGTTGGGTTTTCCCTCTGTAATAATAATGATAACAGTAAGGTCTAGACCTTACTTTGTAAAGTGTCCTGAGATGACATTTGTTGTGATTTGGCGCTATACAAATAAAATTTGATTTGATTAATATCCTGTCTCCTGTTTTACAGTGGACTTGTACCTTTGCAGTACCTTTGTGTGGGGACCCTGAGTTTTCCATTTGACACCCACTAAAGAGTTTCTACTGACATATTATACATGTGGAAATAAGTATGTTGCATAACAGTGGGTGTTGTTTAAGGCCGACTTAGTTCCACCTCCCAGGACCCTCCTGGAAAAGAAAAGACAGCAATGGCTGTAGAGAGCCACTGTTTCATGTGCTAAATTGAGCTGAGAGACACCGACTAGGAGCTGCAGTAACATGTCTGACAGCAGTGTGTGAGATACAGCTGGTGACTGGTCGAGTCAGGGCCGAGCTCACTAGTGTGGCTCATCTACCACCTCCAGGTAGTTCAATCCTGAAACAAGACACGAGTCACCGCTGCAGGAGAGGCAGATAATAACAACATTGAAATGATTATTACCTCGTATCAGCAGGTTGTTCAGATTTAAAGTCAATGATCACATCCTTAGATTGGTCACTCATCATGGACACACAGCTGAGTTCAGGAGAGTCTGGTTGCTGGCACCGACTCCTAATATAAACAAACAAGTGACAAATAACATGTTTACAGTAACATACGGGATGCATACAGGGCCACACCCCAGCCCCACCTTGGATGCTTGGACCACATTTCTTTGTTCCTGTATCCAGCTTACAGACACAGACTGAAACAAACAAACCCTGTCACAAAACAAATTAAACTCTGGACCCCAGATACTGAAGGCATCCTGCAGGACTGTTTTGCCCAGACAGACTGGGATGTGTTTAAAGCTGCAGCCACCTCAGAGGACTTTTCTGTCAGCGTACAGGATTATGCTGAGTATGTGACCGGATACATTAGTACCTGTATTGACAACATTGTGCCCACCATACAAGTCAGGAGGTTTCCCAACCAGAAGCCCTGGATAAACAGTCAGGTACGCCACATGCTGCGTGCTCGCTCTTATGCATTCAGATCAGGCGATGAGATGGAGTACAAAGCTGTGAAGTACAGACTGAGGAAAGCCATCACAGCGGCCAAGAGGCAGTACAGAGAGAAGCTGAATGGCTTCTATTCTACTGCTGACTCCGGACGGATGTGGCAAGGCCTGCAGCACATCACAGACTACAGGACCACCACCAGCATCATCAGCTCCACAGACAGCCTGCCGGATGACCTCAACACCTTCTACACCCACTTTGAGACCTCCAGTTATAATGCAAACAATGAAATGATGAAACCCACTGACTTTAATGATCCTACAATGTTTTCTCGAGCACCACCACAAGGTAGGTTTTGATTCAAATATTGAGAAAACTAACAAACATATGGTTGTGAAAACTGGTACCTGGTATCAACTGGCTGTTGAGCTTTAAAGGTAAGAGGCTGTTCCATTGACTGGTCACTCTTCATAGACACACACCTGGGTTCAGGAGAGTCTGGTCTCTGCTGCCGCCTCCTGATACAAACAAGTGACAAATGAAAAGGAGATTTTTGATTTGATTTGATTTGATTTATTCTTTCAAGCATGTAAAGACAGTTGATATGTCAACACACATAATTTTACACATGTCCAACAAATGCTAATCCAATATCAATTTGCTTATACCTAGTACATGCTTGAATGGAGTAGGAAGACGTCAGACTTATCCAGCCCTACCCCATAACATCATCTTACCATCATTTGTTTGCAAGCAGTAAATAATTCTCTTCTACACCACACAAGTAATATACTAAAAAATTATAACAGTGTTAACATTCTTACATAATTACATCCTTAATTAATTATCTTCTACACACCACACAAGTAATATACTAAAGAATTATTACAAAGTGTTAACATTCATACACCACACCCACAATGTTCCATCTGGTTAATCATTAAGCCTGTTCTTGCATATATCCTGATTGACACATACCTTTATATTTATGTTTAAACTCGTCAATTCTATTACTATTTTTTATGTCCACACTTATTAAGAAACCAGTGGATGAGTGACATTCTCCTGTTGTCTCATCTCAGCTGATCAGTCAGCAGTCAGCTCTCTGTTCGTTCACACAGGGGGCTCTGAGCTGCTCCTGAGCAGCTGAGTGTCACATGTAACAGTGAGTGTGAATCCTGATGGTGCAGTGATGTGTGGTGCTGAGCTCTGACATGGAGAAGAGTCCTGGACAGTCAGAGACCCTTATCTCACCTGGGAGCTGTGCTCTGCCTTTCATGGTCCCCACACAGAGGGCTTTCAGAGTTAGGGCCTCCCTCCTCTCTGTCCTCACACCGACTCATGGCAGAGCTGCACTCGGTCAGTACAACAGCAGCACTGACAATGTTCCTGGGAAGATGCTCAGCTGCTGAGCTCACATCCAGTCCCAGAGACTGTGGAGCTTCAGCTGTAGAGGAAACACAGAGAGAAGATGCTGCTGATTCTACTCCATCAGTTCGTCTGATGTCAGTAGCTTAGCTTCACACACGTACAGTCGCTGGACAGGACACACTGAGTGAAGAGGCCACTTTGGGCTGTGGGACACCAGGACAGCCATTTCTCCTTTTATTCTGGCTCTGACCAGACCAAACTGGTCACTGATGAGTCAAGACCATCTTCAGCAGACTGGTCACTAATGACAGAAATCACTGCAGCTCCATATCAAACAGTTCAACAGGAGTATTTTCTAGTCTATTGAGGAGAAGTGATATTATTTCTCACACTGAGGATCCTGAATTGTTTGTCTGTGTTTTCTGAAAACTATGGAAGCTTAAGGAAGACGGTTTTCTGTGCTGCTTTTTCACCCTCTGCTTGGCATTAACACTTTTTCAACTTAGCATAACTCATTCTGTATCTGAATTTGGGTCCTTAAGTGTTTGACAGGACCAAAGTACTAGTACATTGTGGTTCTGGTACTTTTACTGCAGTAGAGAATGCCCTGTTGGACTCATGTTGTGACTCTTTGATTTGTTACAGCTCTTTACACAATAAAACCATCCACAGGCCTCAGAGTTTTGGTTAGTAGGGTCGCCTCCTTCACTGGGAAGAAATAAGTGATAGCCCCCTCCCCCATGACTAGAACAACACATGACAGAAACATCTGCACATGAATTCTATTTCTGTCACGTACAGGAGCTCCGCTCCTTCCTGCTACTAGCAGCTGGACACGGTGGCTAACTGTTAGCACAGGGCCGAGCTCTTCTCCAGACAAACAGCAGCTTTTCACACACAAACACCTGCAGGTTCAACTTGTTACAGTCCCATGAAACTAAGAGTCCACAGAGCAGCTGGGAGTCATTCACACACTGAAAACTAGCACTTACCAAAGCTTCACACGGAGAAAAGATCTGCTGAGCACCATGAAGAGAGCGAAAGTGAAAAAACACCTGGGAGGAAAAAACACCACAGCTAGAACCAGGAAATAAACAGAGAGACAGACGGAGAGACGGAGAGAGAGCGAGAGAGAGAGAGAGAGAGAGAGGACAAACTTGAGTGAAAACTCAGGATGTTACACAACAAGAAGACGCAAATGACAGCACCATGATCATTCAGTGTTACATGATCAAATGTCAGCAGAAGCTTCAAATTGCTGAACTCTAACTGCTGAGTTTATCCTTGACAAATCTAAGGTGAAGGGCAGATGAAGTCCTGTCAGTTAGACTTTATTTAATATACTTAGCTTTTGCATAAGTATATTTTACTTCAGCCACTGATTAAATCCCTCATTCTCTCTGTGATATATATCGGAAGTGCTAAAGCTTTAAGCAGGTCCAGTTGTCACATGTTTTTACCAGAAGAGCTTTGACAGTAGCAGTAACACAACGAGCCAGAGGACTCTATAATATCTCAGGTGGAGCTGGGCTCACAGTGGCCTGATCATCAGCAACTCTGTCAGAAGTTCCTGTTGTTTGTTTCCTGTGTCACTTTATTTGGTGCAAGTACATCCATGACCATATCAGGGTCTTTTAATGTTGGAGACTGCAGTCTGCTGACATCAATCCAACACTGTCATCTGCTGGAATGAAGTGAAAACTACACTGGATGTTACAGACCTGTTTGTACTGTATTTGCTTCAGACACAGATTCTTATTGAGCCTCCTGACACCTTTTACAGTGGGATTAAATGCAAAGTTCAGTGAAAAACTGATCAGACTCTCAGTCTCTCCTCCTGCAGAACCAGGAGTTCTGCAGGAGGAGAGATTGAGACACAAGGAGACACAAGGAGACACAAGGAGAAGAAACATGTTGTGAATCTGTTGCAATCAGAAACTCATGTGGAGGCTTTGGCTCTTTAAACAAAGAGCACTGTTGCCATGGAGTCGCTGAGTACAATATTTTATTTTATCCATTATATTTCTTGATTGATGAGGTGATCTGTGCACTCCTCTGAGAGCACAGGTCATGGGTTCTGTTTTGGAATGGTAAATAAAGTTTATAAAAAACCTGTGGGCTACAACTTGAGCCTTGTTGTTTTAGTCTATATTTGTTTACTTTTTAACCCGTCTGTTCATTCCATCCATACACAGTGAATGAGCTGTTATCAGCTCCTGTTTGGAGTGTGCCTGTAGATGTACACGAAACTCTCACTGCATCACTGATACTGAGGGAAACTTAAAAACACGAGGATTCTCAGTGAAGTTCTGCAGCCTCTTTTACTCTGATTTCTAGGCAGGTTTGTGAGCAATGATTTGTGGTGTACATCAGATTTAATGATATCCTTAGAATGTGCAGCTCACACTGAACCTAAAAATATGTGTCATGTGTGTATGATCATGAACATGTGTGCGTGCTAATTTTAAAAATGCTCAGCAGAGAGCGATCAGAACTTAGCTATGTGGGCGTCACAGCCCAGTTCATGTGAGGGGAGACCATGATGTGGCCTGTGTTGTTGTGTTGAACAGGTAAGAGCTCTATAAATGGGCAGCTCCTTTCACTAACTACTACACAATGGATTGTAACTTCTGCCCACTTGTGTTTTGGCTGAAAATATTACCTTGAAGTGACTTGACAAGCCAGGATATGTGTGCTGGAGTCACAGGCAGTTTTCATTTTATCCCACTGGTTACTGTGGAAGCTATTTGTCAAAATAAGTGAAACTTGTTTTCGCCAAACTGAAACAGTGTTTCAAACAGTCTTTAGCTTTATTTCATTTGATTAACAGGCCTCATCACACCCGGTCTAGATATTAACAAAGACAGCTTGTAGACTTGTCCAGTCGGGATTAGATTGTCCCAGAGGACATTACAACTGTGTAAAGAACAGTTTCAAGTTTTTTCAGGCCTTTAATTTAGGTTGTGTAACACTGCTTCACAACAATAAGTGCATGAGAGTTCACAGTTTTTTTTTGTTTTTTTTTGGTTTGTTTTTCTAAGTTTAAGAGCTACAAACAGTGTGTTTGCACATGCATCTTAGGTTGACTGGTGACTCTAAATTGGTAGGTAGGTAGGTAGGGTAGGTAGGTACTTTATTGATCCCTCAATGGGGAAATTTCAATGTTTCAGCAGCAATGGAGAACAAACAACATAACACCATGAGAAACAAACACCACACACATATCTTGATAAACAAATTTCAGTACCTCAAGCAGCAATAGAGAACAGACAGCATAACACCATGAGAACAAGCACCGCACACACATCCTGATAAATAAATTCCAAGTACTCAGAAATAGACAGAATCAAGTATTTGAATAATCAAGAACAAGATTTTACATATGTGCATATTAACCATGCATTTTACCCCAGGAGTTGAGTATTGCCCCTCAGTTGACTATTACATAGTCCCTCATACTTTCACCTAGCTTATGCCTGCAGTGATGTATTGTACAGTCTGATAGCTGTGGGGAGGAATGACCTACGGTAACGTGCCTTCTTACACTGGGGATGTAACAGTCTTGTGCTAAAGGAACTGTTCAGACTCTCTACTGTGTGGTGCAGGGGATGGGAGGGGTCGTGCATGATGGATGTTAGTTTTACCAGCATCCTTCTGTCCGCCACCTCCTCGATGGAATCCAGAGAGCAGCCCAGGACAAATCCAGCTCTCTTCACCAGCTTGTTTAGTCTCTTTCTGTC